GAGTTTTGGAGATATGCATGGCTGCAGAGATATCTTCCATTCTGAGTAAATACCTATACGTACCACCTCTTTACCCCACGTCGTAGCAAAGTAAACGTACAAGGCATTGTTTCTATTTCTGAATGTAGATCTAGAAAAGAATTAAAACCTTATTTAAATGAATTCTAAATACCTGTTTAGATAAGGTAAAATTATTCAGAGATAGAATAAAAAACTTACCTTTGTGGAAGGTTTTGAGGTCATAAACGACATTATTTTGGTAATCATTGTCGTTTAAGCCATGCGAAGTAGAAGAGTTCATTAAAGTCAGAAAGCTCTTGATATTAACCTAACATGTAATGAAAAAATTAATGAAGGAGATAAGTACAATACATAACACGTTCATCCATAACAACGCAGTGCGACGATGCGTTCTCACGTTATTCTATTTCACCTAGGCATAACTACGCTGCGCGGCCGCCTACATGAGGCTAATTCCGTGAGGTAGTAACACGTGTACAAATTATATACTTAAGCAATCTAAAACTGTTGCAAATTTTAACTAAAAATAACATATCATCATCATCAGCCGAAATATTGATCCACTGCTGGGACATAAGGATCCCACTGTACGGAGGGGTTTGAGCAGTAGTTCACCACGCGTCCCAATGCGATTGATGAACGGAGTACTAGATAATCAGTACTTCTTTAGATTCCTTTAGGCGCTTTTTACTACACCCAGACGCAGACAGGGGGTAATGCTATCTACTATACCGGCATCACACAGCAGGTAATAGCAATAAGGTATAAGTAGGTAGTATTAGTAGGTGATATATTGTATTACCCACTAATACTATGTACCTTAAGAGATAATGTAGATAAATACCTTTAAACTACCTTACATTGAGCAATAATATTCGTATTATCAACAAATTACTAATAGGTATATTGCATAACACCTCGGTGTGTTCTACTACTAATATTAAAGGATTCAATTTGTTTTCTCACAACACCTAACCCTACAATAGGAGCGGCCTTAACAAAGACGCGTAAAGGGCTAACTAATACAGACACTCGCACGCGGACGTAAAGTGCATTTTGATTTAATACGAGCATCGCATTATTATTTTTTTCAACGATTTAATCAGCAGGCTGATTTCAAGATCGTTCCTTCCAAGGCGTGCAAAGTATTATGAACATTAGAGGCGTTGTAACTAGCGTTAAGTTCGCAAATTTGCTATCAGAGAGGAGAGTGATCCTTATGTTCTTTTACTATTATTTATTCTGCGATTTCACGGTGAAGGTTTTGCCTTGATTGTAGTAGTGACTTGAACCGACAGGCGCGTTTGTATGTGTAAACTGAAGGATTGCGTCGCAATCGTGACTGAGCGCTCTCGAGGCCTACGCACACTAATCAAAGATGTGTATGTGCACGGCTAACAACAACCAATGTCAAACCTTCATCGTGAGAATAGAATAACTCCTTCATCCGTTCCAGGAAAATAAAGATTAAAATAATAATTATTAACTAAAGAATACGATAAATGTCCATATGACTTTCATTCACGGTGATTACAATTTTTTCATTGTACAAACCTCCTTCATCATTTGCTATTTCTAAAACCAAGCTTTAATTACGCTGTTTTAAGATTTTATATGGTTTGCATGCACATAAAACCCTCATTTATCAAAAAAATCTTAAAAATGCTACATAACCCCATCCACTCATATCTTCAATTATCAAACTGTCTATCACCAATGTGGCATAACTTCTTAGATGAAAGAATCAGAATAGGTGAATTATTTCACAATAGGCATTAATGTTATTAGAATTTTACAATCAGTAATGTTATATGTCATTGGTTGCGTCAAAACACACATTTGAATTTGTGTTAATTAGTTGGTTAGATTAGCCGGCAATAATTTCCCTTCCCACTTCCGTTTCCCAGTGGCATGCCCAGTGGGGGCCTAGACGTGGTGGCTTCATTTTATTCGCCAAATGGGATGCGCGTTGTGCTTCGATGGAGGTAGGGACGGCCGAAGAGGAAATCGACGTAGTAGCGCAATCTTGGCCATGATAGCACCCTGTCGCAGTCGATCCACAGGACGGTACAAAACCTTAGTCGTGACCGCTTATACAGTGCAATTCCGTTGTACACTAATGCAAAACAATTCGTCGTGGCGTTCAGTCAACCCCAGTGCATTTGCCGTTGCGCACCACCGCAGTTGCAACGAAGTTCCACCGCTTCGAAGCCTTAAGAGAGTGGCCGCTTGCAGACACCCCAGGTAAGCCAGTTCCTATTTATGAGCTGTTTTATTTGTTATTCCTTTTTCCCAGAGCAGCTCATGCTCCCGGCGTGCCGGCTAACGCATTTAATTATATTATAACAAGCATATTGTCCAAAACCCGCCACGTGCCACGTCCGCCATTTTGTTTTTGTTATAACGACCACGCAGCTCGTACAGTCCACTTTCGTTATTCGTGCACGCAAAAATTTTGGTTATTATTCCCGGAATCGAACCCGGGACCCTGTGGCCCAACCATTTATGTTCCTTCGCTCCGGATTTTGAAAGACAACCAAGTCGCGCCACCATTTTGTGATCCTTCGTTCCGGATTTGAATTAGCAACCATTAGCTCAACCAGTAATAATATATACTTTTCCTTATACGGTACGTAGGTGACCCGTGTTGTTTTATGTTTCGACCGACATTATTATAAGTAATGGGATTCAATTTTTGTTTATCTTAATTTAACCACTTTTAGAAATTCTACTCGAAATTTAAATTTTGAAAATAATTTCACTAAGTAACAGGTCCTGCTAATTACTTTCGATTAAAATTATAACCAAGACAGACATTTAAACTTTAGAAAACGATATTATCTCACAACGTAATTCTACTTTACGCGTTTACAACATATACTTGACCTATCTTCGCCTAAAATGGATAATTAAAGACACAAAGTTTAACTTTAATGTGAGTTAGATAATTAATTTAAATGTAAATAAACAACAAATTCTACTCATTCATTTTTTATTAAACGAATAACTTGACAATACATTAAATTAGGTACAGTTTACCTATATAACTATAAAAATATTAAACTTATATTCAATAAAAAATATTTTGATGCCGAATTGTAATGGCAATAAACATTATAATACGATGGCATGACTAAACATTCAGTCATGGTTTGGTTTTAGGAAATTTTAAATCAATCTGAGCTAACAGCTTAAAAAGTTTTAATCATAATTATAACACCTATCGATTAACCTAATTCAGTGTATACGTGGAAGTATACTTACAAGCACATTAGTATAAGACCTATATAGCTAATGCCAACAGAAATTTAGCCAGATTTAAATAAGTTTAAGTTTGAAAAAATAAAAATGACTAAGTTTTGCAAATATTGGTTTTAGAATGGATTCGAACTCAAATCGTATGGTGGTACGTAACGAAAAGGTTACGCCGATCACTAGGCCATGTATAGAACTAAGATATGTAGCCTTATGTGATATAATCTTTACTTAGTATATTGTAATGATCATCAATAAATGCAGACTATAGTTCTTGCAATTCACAATTGCATTCGTGAATTGCAAGAACTATAACTTTCGTTTATTTACAGTTCTGATTTATTTTTGCGCAATAACTTTTAAAGATAACATAAGCCGAGTTATCAATTTATTGAAGAAAAAAACGATAAAGCTAAAAAATTTGTAAGCATTATCGATAACTTTATACATATTTATTGGCTTACAAATGTAACGACAAAAATTAACGTCAATCGATCGACTTTGCATAGATAAATGCTACATTATTACCAATAAAAAAAAAAAACCTATTTTAGTATGTTTATTTTAAGATAAGTCATTGTTACAACCATTATATTCCCAACTATATACATAGCCCATATTGCGTTTTTACATTTCAATGCTGTTTTTTTAAAACTGCATATAAATTTAAAGTCCACCCAGCCATAATTGTATCTGCTAACAAAATATACACACAAAATATGAGTTTCTTTGGCAGTGAGTAAATGCAATTATAGATAATGTTATAAAATTGAAATAATACTAGTTTTTACGGAATTTATCGCGTATATTTAACTTTTTAAATACCCGACGTTTCGAACGCTTTACAGCACTCATGGTCACGGGCAGGACTGAGATGTTCAACGTCCATATGTCATAGTTAACCGCGGTTACCATAGATTAAAATTTAACTTTTGTTCCGATCTATGCAGTATGAACTTATGGTATCTTGAAGTCACTACATCAGATTTGATAGACCGCAGATCCTCGCTAAAGAACACCGATTCCTTCCAAGGATGATTCGCGAGGCTATTGAAATCAAAAAACATCCTAATTTCAATAGAGAAGATGGCTGGGTGCTACCATCTGCTTGGGATCCTATAATAAATAAAATTAAATCCCAACCCAAGCATACAACTGCAAGACTTCAAGATACCATAAGTTCATACTGCATAGATCGGAACAAAAATTAAATTTTAATCTATGGTAACCGCGGTTAACTATGACATATGGACGTTGAACATTTCAGTCCCGCCCGTGACCATGAGTGCTGTAAAGCGTTCGAAACGTCGGGTATTTAAAAAGTTAAATATACGCGATAAATTCCGTAAAAACTAGTATTATTTCAATGTGTAGTGTTCGCGTAAATATAAGAAATCATAATGTTATAAAACATAAAAAAATCCATATGTTTTGAATGATACTTTAGGATCTTGCATAAATCAAGATCCAGTTTGCATGGCTTTTTGCACGTCCAAAAACACATAACAGAGTAGGGTACTATCTAGTACATTTCCTAGTATCGCTGACGTTTTTTTTTGCAATATTAGAAAATAAAATAAAAATAAATGCGTGGCTGCTATTTTCATTGTTTCATTGAGACGTCGGTAAAATAGTTTTAAAAATATGCAGATTATGTCAAAATTCCAATGTCGAAGGCCAAGCCGAAGCAACGATCGGAAACATTTCTCGAACATTCCATTATTTTACCAAAATGGACACCAGCCAACATAGCACTGGCACAGGTTCTCGTTGCTGGTGGCCTGTTGAATCAGCAAGTCAACTTGCTTCTGCACTGACACGCAAGACAGATCATCGATATGGGTGAAGTCGCGTCCAGTCAGTTTGTCCCTTACCCTATTCACGATGACCAGGGCCCGCTTGTTCAGGTTAGTTTCCGCTGGTTGGTCAAGTGTATCGTTTCCCCCTATCTGCGGTCTGCTTTTGCTGGTAAGTGGTGAAGAGGAAGCTTCCGAATTCTCCGCATCACCTCTCGATCGACGGTCGGCGTCTATGAGTCTCCAGTTGAGAAGTGGATCGTATACGAACGCTTCGAGCACGGCCATCACGCTATCCTTGTGCCTGTGGAGCACTTCCATTACGGACTCGCAGGTGCGACGATATGTACCTTCGATGCCAGTTACCTTAAGAAAAACACGTCAAGAAATTAATGGAGAGGGAAGAATTAAAAAAAAAAAACTACTTATAGGTAGCTGCATGAATATTACCTACTTGGATTGCTTTCTTAAATATAATAAAAGCAGAGAAATTCTTTGCCATATTGCGGACATCCACAATTTTTTATTTTCCACAAAATAAATTTTAATTAATGACAACAGTATGTTTTAACAACTTTAAAAAACTGAGATTGCCAACCCATATGCCAAACGTGGCTAACTAAGGCTAATATTCCCCCCATAAGTAACCCTACCCTAGTATACCTAAGTAACCCTAGTCCCCGGAGATCCCGCTATTTCCGGCTACGTTGGCGATGATAATATCGGCGGGACTGGGGGCACAGAATAAATAATAGTACTACGTACAGAACGTGCACTCTTTTGATGTCAACTGCTTGCCGACGTTTAATAGCCTACATAATTATTATCAATCAGATAAATCGCGCACTCAAGCTAAATAAAACTTTATCGCTGCGCGTTAGTGACCATATTACTTTGCATCTTTTCCGCTTCCTAATTCACGGCGGACTTTCCGTGGTTATTAAGGGATGTCAATAGAAAGTAAAAAAATACATTGCGAAATGTTAATTATGTTACTTAGGTGAAGTACCTATTCTGACTATGATCGACTGACCATACTTTCGCCCCTATGTGAGTATTGCGATGTCTAACGCATGCAAATTGCAAGGTCATTCGTCGGGAATCGCAACGTTTGGTTCAGAAGAAATAGGTAGATAGTGTGAACAACAAATAAACCTGAAATACGATTCCTAACAGAAATGTGATCTATTCTACTTACTTAAAAATCTTCTTAGTATACAAAGTTTTAATTTCAGTATTTTGTGTTATTATAACTTAAAATATTTTAATTACAAAATACAAGTATAGGTATGTATGTAAGTAAATGGATCGATAGTGAAGTAAATTTTAACTAATTTTTGTAATAAAGTACTAAGGTATTTCTTCTGTAGACCAAATTATTACTTAATTCTTTTTTGCTGTAAGTACCTATCTAACAAAAAAATTAAATAAATTCACCTTTCATAATTTCCGTCTAAAATTCTTCGGTAACTTAAAGAATGATATGAAACCTTTTGTTGGTCATTTCATTTAGTATCCATCCACGCAACAGTTATAGTAGGAACGACATTTGCTATTATAATTTATCAAATAGGTAATATACATAATATATAATTTTTAAAATACATTAAAACTTTTATAACTATTTTTACCTACAGTTAAATATACTAAACACTAAACAAAAACTATTTCAACAAGTGTTTATACGAGGGTGGATTGAAAAGTACTCGGCCTAACACAGATCCATTCAATTCTAAAAATCAAATCTACCCACATTATTTAGTTCAGTTCAGACTAGTTCATTGTGTGAAGTTCGAAACGTGTGCGATAATTAGTTGTGATTTTATAAATTTATTAACAAAGTAATCGGACATAATTTCCGCGAATGGAGCAAGTCGAGCAGCGTGCCGTCATTAAGTACCTCCATAAGAAGGGGCTATCATCAAAAGCCATCCATGATGACATGGTCAGTACATTAGGCGATTGTGCTCTGTCATATTCATCCGTCAAAAAATGGATAGCAGAATTTAAGCGTGGTAGAGAGAGTGTGAAAGATGAACCCCGCTCTGGAAGGCCTTCGACGTCAACTACTGACGAAAATATTAAAAAAGTACTTGATTTAATAATGGGAGACCGCAGATTAAAAATTAGAGAGATAGCCGAGATTATAGGCATCTCTTATGAACGAACTCAAAACATCATTGTCAACGAGTTGGGTTTCCACAAGGTGTCTGCGAGGTGGGTTCCGCGACTGCTTTCAGTTGAACAAAAAAGGACGCGATTGACTATTTCACGCGACTGTTTGGAGTTATTTGAAGCCGATGCAGATGATTTTTTGAATCGTTTTGTTACTATGGACGAAACATGGGTTCATTACTGTACACTGGAAACAAAACAACAATCAAAACAGTGGAGAAGACCTGGTTCACCACCCCCTAAAAAGGCTAAGTCGATTTTGTCGGCAAATAAGGTGATGGCTTCAGTATTCTGGGACTCGAAAGGTGTGATTATGATTGATTATCTTGAAAGGGGACAGACTATAAACTCTGATTACTACTGCACCTTACTACGTCGTTTACGAGAGGAAATAAAAGAAAAACGTCGAGGAATGCTCAGAAGAAAAGTCCTGTTTCATCAAGATAACGCCCGTGTTCACACGTCAGTACAGTCAATGGCTGAAATTCACAACTGTGGCTTTGAACTGTTACCGCATCCGCCGTATTCACCTGATCTGGCACCATCAGACTTCTTTCTGTTCCCTAACCTAAAAAAGCACTTGGGAGGTCAAAGATTTTCGACAAACGACGAGGTCAAAGCAGCTGTAGACGCATATTTTGACTCTAAGGAAGAATCATTTTTATTTCAACGGTCTAAATGCTTGGAAGGGGAGGTGGCAAAAGTGTATTGAACTTGATGGTGATTATGTAGAAAAATAAAAATTTAACTGATTTAGTATGTGTTTATTTTCTTGGTTAGGCCGAGTACTTTTCAATCCACCCTCGTACATTGTACATAAAACTATTTACGTAAACAACATTAAAACATTTAAGTTCTGATTCACCAAGTGCTCGGCGGTGAAAGAAAACATAGTGAGGAAACCTGCATGTCTGAGAAATAAGAAAAAAAAATATTTCGAAGTCAGTGTGACGTATATAGGATGTAACTTTTAACTTAACTTTATGTTAACTATGCAATCAAATATGTTCCTGGAATTAACATCCCACGTTGACCCTTCGAAGCTTTTTAGTAACGTGATAACTAAAGAATTCGGTTTTGCTGGCTAAGCTAATTAGTAAACCATATGCATAAATAATAAAACAATATGATCTAATCTTGGTAACGCGCAAATGTTTACATAATACTTTCGCTATTTATGGGCAAATAAAGGAATTTGAATTAGGAATTAGCATTTCACCATACCTCCATAGCATTGATGAGCATCCGTGTCAAACGGAAAGGTATTTTCTCCGGGAACTTGTCGCGAGTGACGGCTACTTCGAAGCAGTCTCCGAAATCTATGTGAAGGAACTTCCCGGTGACTCTGTCCAGCATGATATTGGACGGGTGGCGGTCTCCCAAACCCAGGATGTACCCGACCATACTCATGACTGCTAACGAGCGTGTGTAGTTCGTTCGTCGCTCAAACCAAACTTCTGAAGAAGGACTCTTTAGCCAAAGTAACTTGGCTAAGTCGTCGCCGGCTGTGTGCTCCAATGCATGTTCAAAAACTTCCACCTGCAAAAAATATTTATCACAATAATAATATTTATTGGAGAAAAATGATTCTATCTAAATCAAGTACAGAGTGGTTAGAACAGTACAAAGTAAATATATTTTACAGAAATCTAATAACTAATTTCATAAAACGTAGTAAGCTAATATGTTCAATTAAAAATACTTTTTGCAAGCGTTTTACTACGCTTGAGCGGTTTCGTTGATGAATATTAAAAACAAATTAAACTGCGTAATTTGACAAAAGCGAGTCGTTCAGCAACGCTGCAAAACCGATATTCAAAGGTATAAGATATTTTTAAGAAACTATAGCACTATATAAATATAACATTATTCCTTTTTATATCACTACGGCAGAGAATCGTTGGCAAAACAAAGGAGTTATATTTTTTTTAAAGGTACAAGTTTATATTAATCAACAATAACGAATATATCGTATATAAGAATAAGAATATAAGAAAATTCGACAATTAATGTCTTCGTATTAAAATCTTTAGCTACCAACCTTTTGCATAAGCATTAGTTTCTCTAGATCAGAAGCCATCCTCTGCATTATTCTGTGCTCAATGTTGAGTAGGCATTTGCGTTTCTCCCTGTAGTCTCGTATTAACGAATGCAGAGTGTCACAGTGAGGAACCCAGCCAATGAGTCCAGAGTTAGTAGAGAGCGGTATGACGGCATATCGTTGTATAGCGAGGTCTCGACGGAAGGTGTCCGGGTCTGCTTGGAGCAGGGTGTTCACCAGGCCAAACAGCTGCATGACTCTTTCGTCTTGTCGCAAGTCCTCGTGGCCCTTTAGAAGGAACATGTAGTCTTTGCCGTTGGAGCCACGGATACAGAGGCGGCGCGGTCTTTGCTTTGATGTTATAACCTGTAAGACAAGAATTAATAAGAAACAATAATGTTTTAAACATGTCATTCATGTTACATGATAATTAAACAGACATATATATATATTGTTGCGCGCCATAGTTGATACCTGGTAATGCCCCTAGCGCCATCTAGTGTCGGGGAGCAGAGCGAGGTGCTTTCTAGAAAATGCCATGCCTAAACTTTCCACCAACAGCGCCACCTAGTATTGAATAGAAGAACTAACCTTTATAGAAAAGTCCACACTAGAATTTTCTACATCTAGATGTTTCGGTGGAAAAGGCCTATACAAAGCAGTGCAGGGCTCAAGCGAAGCTTCGGAGCGAAATAAAGTGAACTAAATTGATCAGTGTGATTAATAGTGTCTTTTAAGTGTTAATTGACGTTCGGTAATTAAAGTGTTAATTTCGGTAATTCAATCGGCAATTTTTACTGTCACGAACCCTAAGCTCGTAACAATTGGTGTCAGAAGTGGGATAAAATCATGCCAATTTTACGGAGGGTGTTCGTACCCGAAGTCAACGCCAGCAGGAGATGGACCAGAGACGATTTGGTGGTGCAACGCCGCAGACGTCGGAGGGCCAGCCCCCGTTCTCGGAGGCGGGCCCGTCAGTAGCTCCTACATCTGCAGCACCTGACTTAGGTGCTCTGATGGTGATGCTGCAGGAATTGGCCCGCCGACAGGCGCAACAGGCCCGCCGACAGGAAGAACAGAGGAAAGAGTTAAGGGAGGTGAAGGATTGGCTTGCTCAACATGACAACCGCCTGTCGGAAGCTGAAAACCGAATCGACCAAGTGAACAATCAGGATGACAACGTTTTTTTATAGAAGAGGGGACAAACGAGCATGCAGCTCACCTGATGTCAAGTGACTACCGCCACCCATGATCAACCGCAACACCAGGGAAATTGCAGGTGCGTTACTAGCCCTTTAGAAAGGAGTAAGCTCTCAAGGACGATTCGGCCCGCTCTGCGCTGGATGCGGTCAAGGGGAAGGAGCTGGTACTGGGGAGCTCCAGCCCAGAGATTGCAACAGTATTCCATGTGCGGCCGAACCTGCGCCTTGTAAAGTTGCAGGCGGTGTGCCGGCATGAAATACTGTCCCGCTCTGCTGAGCACGCCAAGCTTTTTAGAGGCCAATTTGGCCTTCTTTTCCAAGTGACCACGAAACTGCACGTCACACGATATGTCGACGCCAAGGATTCCGATACTGGCTGAGGCAACAAGGGGAGTGCCTTGAAACTGAGGAGATGCGACCAAGGGGTTCTTTTTAGAGGTTAACGTGCAAACTTGTGTCTTCTGAGGGTTAAACTGGACTAGATTTAGTCGCCCCCCATCCGAGACTGTTCAGCAAAGACTCGACTTCAGACACAAGTTTGTCCTGGTACTCGGAGACGTTTTCCCGAGAAATATTGGCACGGCCGGTGTACAGAGCATCACCAGTGCTGTCATGCATAGCAATAAATGTTACGGGTTTGCAACATATCATTGATATGCAGAAGAAACACCGTTGGCGATAGCAGGCAGCCTTGTGGAACACCAGCATTAATAAGCTTGTAATCGGAGCTTGCACCGTCTACAACGACCTTGATGTTCCGATCTGCAAGAAAGCTCCAGATCCAATTGCACAATTTCTCGGGAAGCCCATGGGAAGGGAGCTTCGAAAGAAGCGCTTTGTGCCAAACCCGATCGAAGGCCTTCGCAATGTCCAAACTAACGGCCAATGCCTCCCCCTTGAACTCTACTGCCTCCGCCCATCTATGAGTTAGGTAGACCAGAAGATCACCAGCTGATCGAACCGTATCAGTCATTACGAAACGTAATGGGTGACATGAAGAAATCACTGGACGAACTCAAGCTTGGGTGAAACTACAGGTCCCGTAGTAGCTACTACACTTTCACTAGGTGAGTTCAAAGTGCCACCGTTCAACGGGATTTCTTCCTGGTCGGCCTACAAAATCCAGTTCGGAGAGACGGTTATGAAAGCGAACGGCTGGAATAAAAGTCAGGCCATGCCTGCGGGACCAGGCCTTAACTGTTCTGGAAGCTCTCGGTGAGAAAGAAAGTGACTTATGAGCAGCTCCTTGAGGCATTGGAGGCAAGATATGGTGATGCTTATCTGGAACACGTCTTTCATGCGCAGCTTAAAGATCGCGTGCAACGCATCAACGAAAACCTGTAGCAGTGGGCTCTTGAGGTGGAGAAGCTGGTGCGAAAAGCATACCGGTCTGTACCTGCGCTCATTGAAGGGAACCTGGTGCAGACATTCATCGACGGCATCCGCGACCTTGAAGTCAGAGCTGCTGTGAGGCTCAGGCTTAAGGACGCCTTGGCCCATGCACTGGAGGTGGAAGCCGTGCGGGGCAGGATCATCGTTCTCATCGCGTCAGGGAGGTTGCAGCAGCTACGGTTTGCGACCGCAATAAAGGATACAGCCCTAGGTGCTATGATTGTGGGGAAAGGGGGCCATCTTCGATCCAGCTGCTCTAAGCGAACCGTAGAAAGGGAAGGTGAACGATCTCGGGAGGGTAGTGCAGCCAACAGCACCGCCCAGCAGCAGCAGAGAAACGAGTAAAAGCCAGAACTGCGGGGCGGATGCTGGCTGATGTTAAAAGAGCCTCAAGAATTGCGATCTCACAAACCCATGATGGGAACAGCCTAACCATCAAGGGCGAAATCAACGGAATGCCGTGTAAACTGACGATAGACATTGGAGCCTCTCGCACAGTTGTCAGTTCCCAACTTATAAGTCAGTTCCTTGGGGACTCCGCATACAACCGAGAACGAATTAATTTGGTAAAACCCACCGGTCAGCGTATACCCATCCGTGGAGAGAAGGAGATGGAGTTGAAGCTAGGCAACATGATCTACCTGCTTTTTCTTGGGGGGTGGCCGGCCGCCTCCGGGCCTAGACTACAGGGGATTTGTGGGATGTTAAGCGTTTTTAATATCAAGAACTTTTCGTGGAAGGGACGTTACCAGGGAACGTGTACAGCCTTAAGAAGATTGTTCTTCCGCCGAGATCGGAAACGATTGTGCCGGTTAGTCTTCCTCGGAATCCTGGGCAAGCTCATCGTTGTGTACTCGTGGAAAGGTTAGACAATGACCTTCCATGGAAAGTGGCTCGAACCTTGGTCAGAACCACTAACATCTCAGGAGTACGTGTGCTGAACCTTTGTGACCAGGAACAGATTATAGAAAAAGGCACACTGGTTGGTACTTGTAAGGAAGTGGATTGGTTGCGTCGGTGCCAATATCTATCGACTGGGCAAGGATGCACAAACGAGAGTGACAACACTTTTAGAAGACTGTCTCAGCGTTCTCTCCCCGAATGAAATGGTCAAGGCGAAGAAGTTGTTACTCAAGTATGCCGATGTATTCTCATCAAACGATGCTGACATAGAGAAGACTGGCTTAGTTCAACACAAAATAAACACAGGAGAAGAATTGCCTATTCGTCAGCGGCCAAGAAGTTTGCCGGTAGCACGTGAAAAGGAAGTGGAAACCATGATTGAGGGAATGGTGTTATTGAACCTTCATCTAGTCCGTGGTAAGAAGAAGGATGGCAGCATGCAGTTTTTTGTTCACTACCACCGTCTGAACGACGTTACAAAGAAGGACAGCTATCCCTTGCCGAGAATTGATGACACGCTGGACATGCTTACAGGAGTAAAGTGGTTTAGCACGCTGGATCTAAAAAAGTGGCTACTGGCAAGTTGAAATTGACACTAAGGACAAGGAGAAAACTGCGTTCTCGACGGGAAAGGGTCTGTGGCAATTTAAAGTAATGATGTTAGGATTGTGCAATGCTCCAGCAACGTTTGAAAGGCTGATTGATGGAACTTGTACTTACCGGGCTAATTGGTGATGCCTGTCTGGTCTACTTGGGTGACATCATCATCGTAGGCCGTACGTTTCAGGAACACATTCAAAACCTGGAACGCGTGCTCATGAAGATTCAGAGTGCCAACCTCAAGTTGAGTTCGAAGAAACGTTCACTATTCAAACGGCAAGTTAACTTTTTGGGGTATGTAGTATCGGAAGAAGGTATCCCGCACGGATCCAGAAAAAATCGCCGCTGTCAATGATTGGCCGGTTCCAAAAGATAAACGCAGGTTAGAGCATTTTTGGGTTTGTGCTCCTATTATCGGCGATTTGTGAAGAACTTTGTAGATATAGCCAAACCTCTGCACAAGCTAACCGAGGAGAAGCGATATTTCTGCTGGGATGAAAGTTGCGATATCGCATTCCAGGAGCTTAAGGACCGTCTTTGCAAAACACCTATTTTGGGGTACCATGATGCAGGCAAGGATTAGCACAGACTTCTGACGCTGTTGCGTGAAAATTAAAGTTCTTTGAAGTCTGTTATTATTTTTTAACGCAAAATATATATAACCTAACAAAAGTAAGGTATAAACTATTGTATTAGTGACAAATCCACCTACTAAATTATATTTAAACATTAATAACAACAATCAAAATATTCCTGTTGATTTGAACTTCAACTCTCAGTTAAAAATTATTTCGATTAAAATTATACTATGTTAAAGTTTGGACTCCAAAAAATGCAGCCAGTGGATGAAACCATTCAACAAATAAAATTCGCCGATTAGAAGATCTTAAGACAAAGCGCGCAAGTTATAACATCTTTAAATTTCTAGAAAAGATACAGAGACCATAATCTCTTTTTACGTGTCAAAATCTCAACAAAAAAGGACATTCAAGGATCTTAAATTGGCAGTAGTTACGAACTTTGATTCGCGGTGTCTACAATTATTACCAAGACAATTTGTCCAGTGAGTTAAAGAGTTTACACATTTTATTTTTTAACTTAATTGATAAAACGGTAACATTATTATGATTAAAGAAATAGAAAAATACAAAATTTACGAAATGCCGAACATCAATGTCAAAGTAGAAACGGAACGCAAACGTTGACTATAGACGCGAATAATAAACAAAGCACGGTCTACCGACCTAGACAACCTAACCGACAATAAAAGTAGTATCGAAATGCTTGAATTTTGCAGTTACACCGCGCAGAATCTCGTACAAAGAAATTATCTGTAATGATGAGGATTGTCTGTTTAAGAATAATATCGGTAAGAAGGATTTAGAGGCCATATGTCAAGATATTTCGTCCTTATTACGTCTAAGTTGAGCGTCGAAACTAAATCTCCCCAAAAACGAGTTTAAAAGCGTTGTACAACTTCGCAATACGAGGGCGACACTCAAATTTTTTAGAACTGGCCGTTTGTAAACGATATAATAAAAAAATAAGTAAAAATTTTGAAAATGGAACTCATTGCTAATACTATCGTAAATGTATTTTATTAATTTGTCATTTTCTTACGATTTGACGGTAAATTGAAAATTGTCTGTGTCACGTCAGCATGAATTTAACGCAAGAAAATTTTCGTACAATGATTTTTTATGAATTTAAACCCCATCTTGTACCATTGTATACAACTGGTTTAATGAGTTTAAACGTGGTCGCACTAATCTCACCGATGATCTGCGTGAGGGACGGCCTTCTACGGCGACGACTGACGATAACCATCAGTGTTGTGCGGCGTATGATAGCGACTGACAAAAGAGTGACTAATCAGCAGAGTCGGACAAGCTTAGTCATAGGTATGAGTTAAGTGCACAAAATTCTCTATGAACCATAACTTTAGCAGTCAGTAAGCTTTGTGCCCGGTGGATACTTCAAAATTTAACAAAGGCCCAAAAACTCCGTCGTGTTGATTGGTGTCGTGAAATGGTTCAAAGACTTAAACGAGGTGACTCAAATGCTGTGTTTGACATACTTACGGGTGACGAAAGCTGGATTTATTGTTATGATCCTAAAACTAATAGACAGTCTGCTGTTTGGGTGTTTCCTTCTGAGAAGTTTACAACTAAAGTGAAGAGAGGTGGAAGGTGGGAAAAATGATTGTGGCTTCGTTCTTCGGAAGGACAGGTTATTACACAACAGTTGTTTTAGAAGATCGAAAAACAGTTACTGTATAGTGGTACACTAACAATTGTTAGCCACTTGTCTTGGAAAAAGTTCGGGAGAAACGACCTCGCCGTAGGATCCTCCTTCACCACGACAAAGCCTTGTCGCACACTGCCAAGCAAATAATCGACTACTTGGCAACGTCAGACGTGGAATTGCTGGGTTACCCGCCTTATAGCCCCGATCTCGCACCTTGCGATTTTTATTTATTTCCGAAAATAAAAGAAAAACTTCGAGAAAACGTTTTATGGATACAGAGGAAGCAGTGGCTTTGTTTCAAAATGCAGTCGAAGAGACCCCTAAGGACGAGTGGGCAAAGCGCTTTTCTCAGAGGTTCCATCGGATGCAGCGATGTATTGATCTAAATGGGCACTATTTTGAAAAGATATGATAGAACTAATAACTTGCTAGTTTGTTCAGTTTTTGATTTTCTAAGAACTTTCAGTGTCATCCTCGTAGACCAGGGCTCACGATTCTCCGCGCAGATAAATAAAATGCTACGGTAATAATGGACACGTCAGAGTATAATTCCAAAATACAACAACTTTTATTGCACGAAAGTACATACAAAAAGTTTAAATCGGACCCTACAAAACAACTATTTAATAAAGAAATATTCCGAAAAATTTAATCTCGATGTGAATTCGATAATACCATCATGTGCCAAACCACCGAGATTGTATGGGTTACCGAAAATACACAAACAAAACGCTCTACAACGTCCCACAGTAAGCTAGATCGATACACCAACTTAAGTTGGCAGAACACTTGGCAAAAATACTGTCACTATTTAGAGGACATACCGGAGCACACACAAAAGATTCAGACAATCATTTTAGTGAGATAAAAGACCTACATCTCACTGACAATGAAACTATGGTCAGTTTCGATGTTCAGTCACTATTCACATGCCTACCTAATGAAGACTGCATCTCAATTGTAACTAGGAAGCTAGAAGATAATAACATGCCTGCAGAATATGCACTATTACTCAAATACTGCCTCACATCTGGCTACCTATTGTGGAAGTAAGAATTCTACAAGCAAGTAGAAGGTACTGATGGGTTCACCTGTATCTTCCGTAGGCGCCGAAGAATTCGTGGAGGACTTTGAGGAGAAAGCCTTTTAGTACCGCGCCTGTAAAACCAAGATACTACAAACGGTACGTAGACGACACTTACAATTTTACCACCTGAGAAAAAGTAACAGCATTTTTAGACCACCTCAACTCCATAAACTCTAAAATACAATTCACAATGGAGTTAGAGGCAAATAATTCTTTAGCTTTTCTAGATGTCACCCGAAATCCTGATAACACACACTGTGTATAAGAAAAAAGCCATACCAACCGATATTTAAACGGTGAATCTCATCACCATCCTTCACAGTTAATCTTTGTTTCAGCGAGCACAAGGAATCTGTGACAGTAAACATCTGGCCGCTGAGCTTCAGCACGTCAAGCAAGTGTTGCAAGACAACAAGCTTCGGGTCCTGCGCCTACGTCACGGTGACCTAGTGAAGCCGGCCACGGTCGAACGTGTGTCTGCTGTACTACCACTACATGTCAGTTGTGTCACAGACAACATTGGATACACCTTGAAGCGAGCTTTCATTAAAACCTACTACAAGCCGCCGAAGATTAGTCAATTTTCACCATCCGTCAAGGGTAATATTCCTCTACAAGGAGTATAGAATCTTGATTGTGAATGTGGTCTCTCGTACATAAGACAAACAAAAAGATCTGTAAGAGCCCGCGTAAAAGAACATATTATAGCTGACGTGAAGCAAAAACGTTCAGGGAAGTCTGCAGTCTGTGTCCATGTTCAAGATTGACCCCGCCATTACGTTAGATTTGATAGACCACAAATCCTCGCAAAAGAACACCGATTCCTACCTAGGATGATTCGTGAGGCTATTGAAATTAAAAACATTCTAATTTCAATACAGAAAATGCCCATCCATTTACTACCATCTGCTTAGCATCCCGTAATTAATAAAATTAAATCCAAACCCAAGCATACCACTGCAAGACTTTAAGTTATTGTAAGCTCATTCTGTATAGATTGGACAGTAAATTAATATTCAAAAACTTAAGGTAACCGGGCTATGACATCAGAACTTCAAATACCTTAGTAAAGCACCGGAAACGTCATAAATTATAAAGTTAGATTAAACGTGATAAAGGGCCAGCAGGCGCGGGCTCACGTACTGCAGCTGCAGGGCACCTGGAGACGTGGTGCGTGTGCGCTACACACTACCCACCTGCAGGCTGCTCTGTATGTGTGCGATGCGGATGAGGTCTGCGTCGGGCACGTAGGAGCCGGGCACGGCCAGCTGCAGCTCGCGACAGGCCAGCAGGCGCGGGCTCACGTACTGCAGCTCCAGCGACGTCAGCTGCGGCAGCTGCCGGCTGATGCGCCGGAACACGTGATAGTACAGGTCCCAAGCCTGATTCAGGTCGCGCACCTGTCCAGACTCCTGCCAAACCAAAACATGCGGTTCAAAAATCCCAACATATAGAAGTGCACATAAACAATTTGCAATCAAATCAATTTAAATTAAATGCCTGTAGTTGAAAAAATGCGATGCCTTCACTGTTTCAGACAAACTTACCATGCCATAGAGCACACAGATGACACATGATGTTAAGCGGCGAGATCTACCAAGTTAGAGAATTCCAATTGTATATATACAACATGTAACATAATTAACGCACTTTGAGAAAGTAGTTTGTTCAGAATCGTTTACTGAATCGATTCCTATCAGTTTTAATATAGGTAATTTTTTTATCCCAAAAATAATTAAAGCTACGTAAATTACAGTCACACTAAATCTGTACAGTCAAAACAAACTGAAATGGACCGTAAATTAAGGCAATAAGACTTTTAAAGAGTGCAGTTTTATTTATATTATTACTAATTCTGTCATTCAATAAAAATAAAGAAAAATGAACTTTATTTCAAGCACGTTAAAGTCTTTTCGTTCGTGGATTTGAACTGTGACCACATTCTTCCGGAATTAGTATAACTAATTTGATAAATAATCAGTGCATAAAAATGTTTAACTAAAAATTCAGTGTATGTATTATGATTATAACATAATATACTAATTGGGGTGTCTGAGGGTGTGCGTTAATTACGTTACATATTGTTTATATTACAGGGTATTTTAAACGCTCCCGAAAACGAAGAACGACGATAGTACCAACGACACCTTTGATGATGGGACCAAATGAAATTCGATCCCGACGAAAAAAAATATTTTACGTTTAATTAGCTTTATTCACGCTCTATCATGTTAGTACAGGTAAATGAAACGATAATTTCATTCGTTCAGGTTCAATGAGTTTCAAATAACTAACATCAGCTGATAAGGTGTCAATATACGCGCGACACCGAATACGCGCGGCCCGCAGCCCGCCGCTACCACAGCGAGGCGACACGAGTTGGCTGAGCGGCGTCAGCGCGTGTGTGAAAGGGAAGGGTAGCGTCCGCGAGTTTATTGACCTTGTAATCAGCTGGTACCATTTTTATTTTCACTGCTGGTTTTATTTGTCAGTATTTTTGAATTTTTTTGCGAAATTATTGTGTCATTTAGCTGTACTAACATGATGAAGCGTGAATAAAGCTAATAAAACGTTGAATGTTTGTTTTTCATCGGGATCCATTCTCTTTTGGTCCCAAAGGTATCGTCGGCAATATCATCTGTCTTCATTTTCGGGAGCGTTTCAAAAATAGTATATATATATATATATATATGTATCTCATATCAATTTTTTGTTGAATAATTCATTTAAGGATATGAATCATAAAAGAGGAAATACCTTATAGCGGTTGCACCACTCTTGTGCCTCATTTAAGTCCCTTCCATATGCTTGGCTGAAGGACGCTTCTTTCATTGTCTGTGGACCCAATTCCAACATCGCATGCAACGGTTCGAGAGTTTTAAACATTGCTTTAACGTCGTGTTCACTGAAGTACAGTCTGGAAGCTTCTTCTAGTGCCTCGTGCCATTGCTCATGCCACAGTATCGCGACTCTGATAAGCTCCTCAGAGATCATAGCAGCCTGATTCACTAAATTGCTTGAATGAGTACACATAGACTTTAGAATCTGGTTTGCAGCATTCTTTCGTGCTACAAAAGAAGACTTCGAAGCCACTGTGAGAGGATAGACTAGGGCTTGAGGGTGTGACTTTCCTATGTCGATTAGGAGAGAGTGTATTAATTTTCCCACCAAAGCCCTTGGAGTATCAATCCTGGCAATTAGTTGGGGTATTACTTGAAGCCAGACGTTTATTTCAATAGTCCCGATGCCTTCAACTAAGGCTTCATGTACAGCAGGATGCTGGCCGTAATCAAACCATAATGTTAACAATCTTAAGGTATCTTGTAACGAACTGCCGTGAGAAAGATTGATTGATTTGAAAAATCCTTCCACAGCTGGAACTGTATGCTGTTGAATAAACTCGGGCGCGGGTTTCTTGTTTGCAGAGTTGTCATTATTTGTTTCTTGATGCTTGTAAAACAACACCGTTTCGAAATTCATATATGCCCAAGCATGCCATGCTTTGTACCAATCGGACGATAGTGCCGCCGCTGTTGCATAGTTACGAAGTATTTCTGGAATAGAGAGCTCGTTGATACCTAACAGAGATTCGCACCAAGACCCTAGTTTTAAATGACAGCGAGCTAGAAGTCTGCAATGTTCCGCATCATCTGTGTCGACCGTGTCTACGTATCGTTGCAGTTGGTCGTACGCCAACTTTTTATCACCGGCTACCCACAAATGTTTGGCATAGGCGAGAGTCAACCGCGGTTCATGAGTTGGTAGTGGTAGGTCACGATTTTTGCTCGGATCTATACCCAACAACATAACCAATGTTCTATGAGCTTGTCGTGGAGCACCACTTTTCCTGCAAAGCGAAGCAAATTTAAGCCATGTAGCCATATCTTCTTGAGGCGTCAATACAAGGCTTCGCACTTGGAGTATCTTGCGCCAGTCTTCAACCGATCTCTGGCCCCCTTGTAGCCTAGTCCACCATGCTTGTCTAATAGACTCTCTTCTCTCATGAACCAACTTGTATGTTATCACTTCTTCCAACTCAGCCAACAACTGAGCGTTCACTAACGCACCATACGCTCGCTGGTAGCTTTCGCCAGCCACGGCTGTCAATTCTGAGTCTAGCAATGAACGTGCTTGATCAATATATAATTTCGATACATTATAATCACCTTTATGTATGTTTAAAACTGCTCTGTAGAAGGCACCATCTTGGGTGTTTTCTGGTAGGAAGTTGACGTAATTGGTCATGGAATCCCATTCATTCATACCCCAGGCAGCGGCGGCAGCCAATCTTGCAGTTTTGAATTTCTCTTCATCGCTCATTTTGGGCCAACGTTTGGAGACTGCCTTGTACAGTTTGACCCATTCTCCCAATGCTTCGAAACATCGCAGTTCTCCCAGGTACGCATCTTTATTATCTGGGTCCACTGATAGTTTTTCGTCGTATAAATTCAAGGCCTTTTCCCAGTTGTGTAATTTCTCGTACCACCGTATTTGAACTTTTAAGTTAGCGTCGCCTGCTTCTCGCTGCGCCATCACTCTTTCTAGTAATCCTACAGCAGCTTCTTTTTGTTGTAGTTTATTATTTATGTGTATTAGCGCTTCGACTACTTGAGATGTAGCGCCATTTCGAAATTCTTCTTCCTAGAAAACAGAATATCAAATATCAATGACGAATGTGCGTCGTATATAAAAATGCAAAATCTTAAAGTGTTTGTGAGTAAACTTCAGTATTCAAAATGCCCTGACCCGCGACGGGGGCAGCGGCAAGGATGCACGGCATTTGATACTGCTATCGCCAATCCCGCTTACCAAGCGTGGTCATTACAAATTGCGACAACTATTTGTACAACAGGAAAAGCTTTTAGCAGCGACTGTCTACTGGACATGCTAAAATGATGGAAAAAAGTGTAACAGTAAGCAGGTTTAATAATTTTGACATGCGATAAAAATCGATCGATATCACATTCTATGTTTCCGTGAAGAACAAAGTCTATGAATCGTTTCGAGAATATTATGACGATGATACATTAAGCCTATATTCGCTGCATATCAAATAATGCACGAGAAAAGGTTCTGGAGTGGTAGGCTCGAATTAGTAAGTAGCTTACTTCTGGATGCAAAAAAGACCAGGTAAGACTTTGCAGGAAGTCGGCAGATGCAGATGGCTCAGGACCTTTTCTGTGCCGTTTCTTGGGGGAGGCCTATATCTATGAGTGAACTTCAAATATTTCAGCCCGCCTCATATAAATTGCCTCGTTGAAAGGATATTTGCCATAGTTATCATGCTTGGTAGGCAGTCTGACAACCACAGTTTATTATTATTATTAATATGTTCCAGACAGTGTAGAATACATTATTAAAAGCCATTTATGCTCTTACGACTGGTTTGGAATTTTCTTGATTTTGCCATAGAAAGAACCAGCAAAAAAATCAGCAGAATAGGGTATTTTACACCATGTAAAAAAAGATAAAAAAAATATATATAATTATGATAGATTTTAGAAAAAGTAAACGAGAAATGTTGATTTCTATTTATAAAATTGCATTATAAATTTTATATTTCAATTTTAAGAATTTGGGCGTGCCTCAAATCCGCAAAGCTGTCCGCCGTATTAGATATTGTCGTGACGTCACTGATCCTACCTGAAGGTATTTAGTGTTCTATGTCACTGATTAAGAGAACTAGCTAATGTGATGTGTTATTTCAAAATTTTTCTAGTTATCATTACGAGTATTGAATTTTACTTCGAATTTTATTGAAAAGGCATCATGGAAGACGAATTCGTAAAAGCAGCAAGTACTAATTTACCAAGGAGAACCAAGAAATCTTTTTGCATGGAATCCCAATTTTTGTTCTGCTGAGTTCAGGAATGTTAAACCATCAATGAATGTACCTATTACCAACTTTGGTTTATACAAAAACATAATACCAAGTCAGAGTGTATTTTCATAAAACATAGTTTAGTAGCTATCATAGTTTAGTTTATCTATAATTACAATAATTTGCAATCATTAGTTATATTATCTAAGTTAACGTAATTTATTACAAAATTGACTTGCGATGTCCCTTGACCCGATGGCGATCTCGATTGACCCTTCACCTCATGATGTTTTGTTTTGTATAAAAATAGTTAAATAAGTTATAAATAAATACTTGCATCAAAATGATCTTCACAGAATAATAGTCCAGTTTGTGTAGAAAATGTATTCGGCTATCATTTTACCAATTTTAACAAAGTATTTCTTAAATTTAAATTATTGGCACTTGAATCTACAACATTCCCGGCGTTCTTATGCTCGTATTTTTGCATTCAGGCATAACACAACAACGATATAGATGATAACTCATTTTTAAAAATTATAAAGTATCTTATTCCTTTGAAAAACCGATAAAATTCACGAGTTAAGCAGCATGGTGGCTACCGTTTTCACGCGAAAATTTAAAACAATAGATTAAAAGTATTTTATGGCACTATTCGTTTAAAAAATATATAGTGGTTCATTATCAGTTATCACTCTAGAATTCATTTAAAACACTTTTTGAAAATGCGTGTAATACCCTATTTTTTTAACATTAATTTACAACATATTTTACAACATTTAGAAACAGCAATATATCAATCACCTCCATCCATTCTAGGGGTTATTATCAATCATGTTGTCTTTTTAAAGAAAATTTCGAACATTTCGATTGGAACTATTTACTGTTTTTTTTATAGGATAGCGTGACAAACGAGCACACAGTCCACCTGATGGTAAGTGGTTGTTGCAGGCCATAGACATCTATATCCTACCTCAATTACGAATCAAAATGCAGATGCGTTGTCACCCTTAAGGACTAAGATGGAATGCCTCGTTTCCAGTAAAAAGGGTCTCCGGTTCTCTACACTCACCACACTATATACACTCATGTTTACATAATATACTCATGTTTGTGGTTGAGTAAGTGAAATAAGAATACCTTGTAGTGCAGCGCCTTGGCGTAGGCGCGGCAGTGCATGGCACGCTCGCCCAGGAGTTGCGCGGACACGGGCAGCGCGCCGCCCTCGCAGTGCTCCAGGAACTCGGCCAGGTTGAGCACTGTGTGTGCCAACTCGGGCGCGTCGGGCGCCGTCAGCGCCTGCTCCAGCGCACCCGCCAGCTCCGCGCGCCACGCGTCCTCTAGCTCCGTCCAGCACGACACGAACGCCGCGTTGAACAGGTCGCGCAGCAGTTGCGAATAGTTGTGCGCCAGGGTCAGGCATGCTCTGGGACAAAAAAAAATTTAAAACAATACGGGACGAGCGGTATTTTTACAGAATGAAGAAGACAGACGAGCACAGAATTCACCTGTGTAAGTGTATGCTGTGACTTATGGGTGCAAGTAGTTGTGGACTTCAGCCAAGCATGTTCTGGGACAAGTTTTTTTTTATAAATACGGATGCCAAACAAACACACATTCCACCTGTGTAAGTAGATGTTGTGATTCATAGATTACGAATACTTGTGGGCATACCCTGGGAGAAGCATTTTTAAGTGATATTTTGGTCGGTTTCAATAAAGAAGGAGGTTTACAAATAAACTGTTTTTTAATGTACATATGTAGACTGATATTTTGATTCTTTTCCATTAAATAATTTATGCTTCAAAGGTAGCTCCATACAAATTTTGAGAAAAAAATCCACCTCTAAAAGTGGCTAAATAAGGAAAGTAGTTTTTAATGTAACCGTTTAAATAAAAATAAAATTCTTTAGGCCACTTAAAGGAGTAAAAAGGTGCAAAGACATAGTGTATAGAAGAAATTGACGCCCCGACTTCAAAAAATTAAATAATTTTATTCTTTTTAGTATTTTAATTGGGCTAAGATTTTTATTAATTTTTTTTTATATATACAAGGTGTAAGTGTAAACACCGTTGTCATTAAAACCATAGGCTTTAATATAAAAATATTTATCCGAATTTAAAAAAAAAAGCCAATTTCTTTCATAAAATTTAAAAAGGTAAATTCATGGATACCCTATGCGCCCGAGTGACGTAATCACTGTAAATATCACCACCCGCCCTAGCTACCTACACAACATTCCAATAAAAACACAATAGGTACATATAAACTGTGATGTAACTTTTCCTTCATACTTTCATCCTGGCTTAGGACAGGCGAAAATTGAGAAATTAAGGAAAAATTGAGATTTTACTAAAAAAATGTTGTTATTTTTCAATGAATTTACGTTATATAAGTGAAACCAAACCACTGGTTTCAAGGATAACGGTGTTTACACTAACATCCTGTATAAGCGTGGCAAACGAGTACCCAGTCTGTGTCTGTGTATTTATAGAAAAAAAAGTATAGTAGTGAAAGTTTGGTGTCGCAGAAGAGCAGTGGGGTTTGGACACGGAAAATATTGCAGAAGTGAGTTTTACGGAGTTTTATCGGCGAATTGACGACATGTTAAAGATGACCTAAATAAAGAGTACCTACAACTGACGAACATATATGCGTATATGAATGGATGTGAAAGAAGCAAGAGAGGAGTATAATTATGATACAATTAGCAGCACGAGTCGTGAGCACTCTTGTGTCAGGTCTCTTTGGTAAAGCTGAATTACAACGGCGCTGGGAAGGTAATGTGAACATTCTTTCACGTGATCGATCCATTAGTTAATTTTCGTCATCTATTGGTATTCACGTGTCATTCACCTGCAGTAAGTATTTTGGCTGGATGGTTTCAAGGATAACGGTGTTTACACTAACATCCTGTATAAGCGTGGCAAACGAGTACCCAGTCTGTGTCTGTGTATTTATAGAAAAAAAAGTATAGTAGTGAAAGTTTGGTGTCGCAGAAGAGCAGTGGGGTTTGGACACGGAAAATATTGTAGAAGTGAGTTTTACGGAGTTTTATCGGCGAATTGACGACATGTTAAAGATGACCTAAATAAAGAGTACCTACAACTGACGAACATATATGCGTATATGAATGGATGTGAAAGAAGCAAGAGAGGACTATAAATATGATACAATTAGCAGCACGAGTCGTGAGCACTCTTGTGTCAGGTCTCTTTGGTAAAGCTGAATTACAACGGCGCTGGGAAGGTAATGTGAACATTCTTTCAGGTGATCGATCCATTAGTTAATTTTCGTCATCTATTGGTATTCACGTGTCATTCACCTGCAGTAAGTATTTTGGCTGGAAAATGTACATGCGCAAATACTGTCATTTCGTGCTCGTGACTCGTGCTGCTATCTATATAATGTTAAAATGAGGACAAAATATGTTGATGTGGTGTACGGAGCTGCGGATTCTGAATTTAAATCTCACAAAAGGCTACGTTTATATGCGCAGTGTTAGTCTAATCTAAATCTTAAAAATGTTAAAATATTTCGTATTTGTAACATTTTTATGATTTATAAAAATATATAAAAAATGATGTTTACTTGGATCTTAGTTCTATAGTCAAGCTTGAACAAGTGGATCAATTTTTAAAGAAATTTGGTATAGAAGTCGGTTATGATGTCGTACAGAACTACTTAGGATATAGGATACTTTTTTAACAATCATTACTAAAGTTTAATTTAAATTACGCTCAGCGAAATTAAATCAGCACAATTAAAATCTATATTACCTCAAAGCAGGGCTATGAGATTCTGTAAGAAGACCGATACTAAAACGGCGCAGCCATTCCAACCAGTCGTCCTTGGAGACGCGGCTGCTGACCGTCCACGCAACCTTCAGGTTGTGTGCGTTGACGTACAACTTGCGTATCGACTGCGACGAATCCGCGATCACTATGCGGGCCTGTGAGGAAATACAAAGATTGTAAAGCTTGTAACACGAAGATTCTAAAGGATTAAATACATTAACTAATAACAATAGTATTTGAACAAATACGTTTAAAATGATTTTAGATAATAATAAAGTAAAGTAAAGTAATAATAATGTCTTAAATATAATAAATATAATAGAGAATAATAAAGTAAAGTAAAGTAATAATAATGTCCTCCAAAATAATAATAATGTCCTCCAGACCGAATTTCGGCGGCCAGCCTCAACGGAGGCTAGCCATCGACGCACGACAGGATTATAGTGCCCAAGTGTATGCGCAAGCACAGGTGCACTCTCTATTCCCTCACTCTCATAATCCAACGGCTTTACGTGCTTTCCGAGGCACGGGGGTGAGACACCGCCAACTTCCCGACTCCGGGCAGATACTGAGAATATCTTAATGGAAAAACTCAATAATTGATTTTTTTGGCCCGACCCGGGATTCGAACCCGGATCGGACCCGGGAACCCGGAACCTCACGATCAGCAGTCGCAATATTACAACCACTAGACCAACGAGGCAGTCAATTAACTTATATACTTATATTTCTATAGGTTTAAAATGTTTATATTTTAGATATAATCATTTTAAACCTATAGAAATATATATGCAAATTCACAAAAATTATGTTAATACATTGCATAAAAATTATTATGCAATGTATTAAGGCCAGAGAGCCATATTAATTTACATGTGAATTGATTTTATGTGTCCTACGTGTAATGTACCACCCCACGTAGACGTTGCGGGTTACGTTCTTCTAATATTTTTGCAATTGTACCGTGATGTCGTTAGCGAAACTGGTCATTTTAATTAATAAATAACTACTGTGAAACTAGCATAACCATCATCCATCAGTCACATATGCAATGGTGATGGAGTGTCACTAAAGTAATATTAGATGCAGTCGCATGTAATATTACTTTAGTTACACGATTCGAAAATTTTTGAATCATTAACAAAGCTTACAAAAGGATATATTTAACTGTAGATACAATAATATCATCTGATGCTTGCAATTGCATATTGGATATAGAGCTACACGTAAAAGATTGCAAAAATATGAGGAAAAATAGGAAACCTCCTCACTGCAGAGAGACCTGTAAAAGTAAACAACTATATAGATATATTTAAAAAGAAACAGAAAAGTTAACTGACCTCTTGATTATTATTCCGCGGCTTGCGTCGAGTGCTCTGTAAAAAGTCATCTACACCAAATGTAGAAGTTGCTTGTAACTTTGAAAGCAGTAACTCATAGTTCTGGTGCGTGATTCTGTGTTTTACAATGACTTTCTGTACCAAAGGTATGAAGTCCATGTATTTACGGCCAAGTTGTATTATTAGAGCACACAACGTGTCCATCGCAGTTGTGCGTAAAGCATAACATGTATCCAAACTTCTAACAAGGGGATGGATTATTCTAGAAACTAGTTCGCTGTAATTCAAAGAATCCGAAAGATAGTCAACTGTCTCCATAGCTACTTTAGCCACTGGTATAGGACAATCCGTCGCATCAAATAGCTTCACTATTGATGGAATAATTAAGTGCATATAATCATCTAAATTATCTTCGAATTTTTGCAATGCATAAAGGAGTTTTTCTGTAACAAATCTGTCTTTACTCGTGTCATGTGCAAGTACGCGTAGTATATGTGGCATTAGTTGAGGCAAATAAACTTTGAATTCAGATCCGAGCGCTATCGCAATATGCTCTACTAACAATATCAATGTAGGCTGTAAAGGACTGTTTGGAGTCCAAAATTCCTTAATAAGATCAAATATTTTGTCAAGATAGTTCCGAATATGTTGCTTCACGATCGCTATAAGTTTTGCAAGTTGCGTGAATAAGAACTCTCGGAAGTTATTATTATCAGTTGCCCGAGCCACATACAGGAGACTTGGAGTTACTCGGGAGATATACGGGACACATTTAATGCCCAATGACTGGAATATAAAAAAGACAGCTTGTACCACACTCGTGTGATGCTGTTGTAGGGTCGGATCACGAAGTATCCGCATCAATGTAGATATAACAATTGCAGGATAGTACTCGTCTAAGACAGGAGACGACATATTCACTAACATTTCACTCGTAGTCATATCGAAGTTATTCTCCTCAGCTTTACTGTCCGCAACTGGGACTAAAACTAGACCAGAATCAGGTTGTCCATCAATTAGACCGCGCGTCAGCTTGTGTTTATATGGATCAAGAGCTCCTAGGAGCCCTAAAACGCGTATGGTCTCTCTCCTGTCTTTCGGCTGTTGTTCTGTTTTAAGGAAGTTTAAAAGTACATCCATTAGATTAGGGTATTCGGTATAGGGGGTGACTACGTAACCGGTGGCGCTGATCAATTGACCAAACGCCCATAAAGCAACGCTCCTCTTTTCAGTTGCACTAGCATCAGACAACAGTTCTAAAAGAATGCTTAAGAGCTCAGGCAGACATTTCTTCAGACCACTATTATCTCCATGCACATCAGCTAAGTCTCCAATAGTTTTTAAAACGCTAATAACAACACCTGGATTTGAGTCGGACTCTTTGAGTTTTGGCACTAAAACATTCAGTATTGTTTCCATATATGGCTTAACTAGTTTTGGAGCATGCAAAATGAGATTATCAAGCATTCTAGCTGCTTGTTCTTTATTTCTACTCATTCCAGAATGTTCCAACTCTGTCAAAAACTGAATTAATGTCTTCCTAAGACCTGGCATAATATAAGCGGGATTTACGGTACTTAGACGTCCTATAGTGCAAATAGCTAATTCACGTATTTCCAAATGTTCATCATTCATAGCTATAAAAAGGAAGCTTAAATTCTCTATCTGTGCTAAGTGTGTGTCAAATACAGCCGTCAAAGATTCTAAGACCCAATAGCGCACTTCATAATCTGAATCGGTAACAGACACCACTAGCATTTTCCCAACAACTTCGGCAGTTAGCATAGTGAGTGTTCGAGAAGGGTTTTTCATAGTCCTCAGAGTGGCATCTGCCAATAATTTCGCAGCGGTTTTTACTGCCTCTAATCTGATTTCTTGTTGGTCGCTTTGCAAGAAGTGATCGGCACATCGCCTTACAAAAGTAAGCAAGCTGTGTTGACCTTCAAATTGAAAAGTACCTAACGTTCGTAACGCCAGAACAATACTTGCAGTATCTTGCGGTTCGATGACTAGACTCAAGGTACTTTGTTGTTCCATGCTTCTTGGAACACCTGGGTGTAGGAAAGGTTTATTCCTCAAAACTAGCGAGAGCATGTTTAGCAAACCTTCTGATATTTCTTCTCTTAGCGGTGGAAGGTTTTGGCTCAATTCTTTGAGACATACTGTCAGTGATGGACTAAGACCTGTTGCAAACATTGCATCCAAAAGTTCTTTAATATCACTGACTACTAAATCCTTTACAGCGCTTCCTAGTAAGGTAATACACGCGAAAATAGATGGATCAATCCACATTCTTTTCTTACTTTGTGAATCTCTGATTGGTAATGCTTGCTTTATAAAATCCATTATGGTACGAATATAGTTTTTAATATCGCCTTCAATAGCTACTGCCATTAAACCTAATGTTGTGAAGGCCATATTTTTATCTTTTTCTCTGCTACGAAGCGACGTTAATAAATAACTCATAGTAGAATTAAGATATTTCTTCATAAAAATTTCTTTATTAAAAGCGGCTAGTCGCGGAATTATACTAAGGAGTATTTGGGGAACTCCTTGGGTTTTTAGAAATCTCTGGTTCATCACATCTGAAAATTTTATAATTCTTATATTATTTTTACATAAGGCAATGCTTATACTTTTACTTAAATAAACAGGTTTTTTCAATGTTAAAAGATTAATAAAAAGGACTTCTCTTGCTAAGAAAATAATAACTTTATGCAATGCATGAAATTACTAAAATCATCTTTTACCATTTTGAAAAGTACATCCTAAGATATCAAAAATCAAAACCTATAAAATGCTTATTATATATTACTTGTAAGAAATAAACGTCATAAGAAAGTACTTAAATTTAAATAATATCATATAGAAACCAATCTGAGGGTCCTGTAAACTATTATTGAATATAACCCGCGCACAGAAGGTTTGCTGATAGTGTCATATATACTAGCCATTCGTCGTGAGGTAATCTTGACCTTCAAAAACCTTGATGTTAAAAACGCAACATTTTGCCATTCAACTGACATTAAAACTATAAAAATATGATATCAGGCATTTTTCTTTTGACATCATATTTTTAATGTAGCTTAGCATCATCATCATCATGATTTCTTATATTTACGCGAAGATTAAAAATACTTTTACGGATTTTATCGCGTTTAGTTATACTTGTAATTATTTTTATTTTTAATTCCCGACCTTTCGGGTGCTTTCCAGCACCCATGGTCACGGGGGACTGACCATGTCCCCCGTGACCATTATTTTAATGGTCGGGAATTAAAAATAAAAATAATTAAGAGTATAATTAAACGCGATAAAATCCGTAAAAGAATTTAATCAATCATCATCATCAACCATACCACAACTCTACCACGCACACAACTCACATGCCTTCAGCCACAGTAGGAGGAACATTTGCAATGATTATCACACTTGGTAGGAATTTTTAACACCACACACAAAACAAAATAAAATAGTGATTAGTTTCAGTGCTCTAATATTAAATATAAATTGATTTAATAAAATGTAAAATGCCAGACAACACAATTTTTTTTAATTTAATTTCTGTTATTTATGCATTGAAAATCAGTTTAAAAAAAAGTTTGGTAAATTCAAATGTGCATGCGTTAAGTGCTCATGTTATACGTTAATTTTTCAAAAGTATTTTATGACTTACATCTAGAAAAGCTAAGGAATTATTTGCCTCTAACTCCATAGTAAATTACATTTTAGATTTTAAGGAATTAAGATGTTCTAAAAATGCATTTTAGATGCAGAAGTGTACAAGCTAGACTGTAAATGTGGTCTCTCATACATAGGGCAAAAGAAGATCTATTAAAAACCGCGTAAAAGAACATATAGCTGACGTGAAGCATCAAAATTCCGAGAAGTCTGCAGTTTGTGAGCATATCCTAGGCGGCCCAACCATTACATCAGATTTGATAGACCACAAATCCTCGCGAAATAACATCGATTCCTACCAAGGATGATACGTGAGGCTATTGAAATTAAAAAAAAAAACACCCTAATTTCAATAGAGACGGAGTCTGGGTACTTCTACCTGCTTGGGACCCCATAATTAATAAAATTAAAACTAAATCCAAGCATAACACCGCAAGACTTCAAGACCAAGTAAGTTCATTCTGCATAGATCGGATCATAAACAATAATTAAAATGCTGAAGGTACACCGGGTTAACATTTACATCGGGACGTCAGTCACCTCAGCCCCCGTGACCATGGGTGCTGGAAAGCACCCGAAACGTCGGGAATTAAAAAACATTTAAAATTAAACGCGATAAAATCCGTAAAAGTAGTTTTATTCAATGTGTAATGTTCGCGTAAATATAAGAAATCATAATCTTATTACTATTACTTATATATACATACATACATAGCGTTCATGCCTGTCACACAGAGGGGTAGCCAGATAAATAATTTTAATAATTTCCTATAATTGTATGTCAAACGTCAATTAAAATAAAGATTGGAAAAGTCCAAAAGTGCACGACTCATAATGATCATATGATCGTGAAAAAAATGTAGAAAAAAATTCTCAATCAAGAATAGAAAACATATTTTTTTATTTAACTATGTTATTATTATTAAGATTCAAAAAAATATTATTGTTAATTGAAAAAACTTTTAACAGAATTATCTTAAATTAACCAGAAATCAACTTTAATATTACTTTAATTTTTAGGTATTTGTACCCAGGCATTATCGTAAAAACTTGTCTATTTTACCCGACTCGTTAATAATTTTTTTTCGCATTAATTAACTTTATTTCGTTTTCAAAAAGTTTTTCATCTAGTCAATATCAGTATTTTAATTTAGCATTCACCAAAGTACACCTTTAGATCACATCACCTCAAATCCTTCAGATCTCATCGTAACTAACAAAACGAAGCTAAACTTGGCACACCTAGTTCTACTCTTCGAGAAGTTCCAGTAGCAGATACCGAAGTAAACCTTCAGGTCACTCCATAAAGTCCCAAGATGTATAAGTAAATTTATATAGAAATCCTACGAACTTTTAGTGAAACAATTTATTGTAATGAAAATCTGTGATAATAAAAATAATAATATCTTCACCTCGGTAAAGTATGAAAAAAAATTTATGTTTTGGAATATTTTGTATTTCTACAGCGATCGATAATTTTCGTCACGAGCTGCTGTAAACAAACGATATAGTAATCCTCTCACGATGGCAGCCAAGCCCGGAGTGAATCAAAGTGTATCTGCATTTAGTAAAATATATTATTACAAGGCTGTTCAAACACCAAAAATTTTGTAATTTCACAGCCGAAAAAAAAACTAAACAAAACAAAATTAAACTGCCATTTACATTCCATAGCTTCCCACGTGATATATGAAGAGATTAAGAAATAGATTGACTTAAATAATTGATATTTTAAAAATTATCGTGTTTACCCCTCCATGCGGACTTGATAAACCTACATCATAAGCCACTAAAATCACTTTTTTAATGCAAAAATAGCAATTAATTGATTTAAAAAAAATAAGTTCAACAATAATTTTTCTTTATGACAATGTGCTTTTTATATCATTTATATGTTCAATATGATTGTTAGATATGATTTCATGCGACGAAACATTGGATTCTTTCTTCATTTTTAAGTGCTAGTAACATATATACGCGTTTTGCGCTTAAGGTATGCAATATGTAGTTATTTCTTTTATAGTCAGTTCTTTAGAGTCAAAAAGTGTCTTACATATTATCTGCAGTAATAAAAATTGAGTATTATAAAATTACCTTTACAAATTCGGTCATATTCTTCATTTAATAGTTTTCTACATACATCAGATTCATAAATAGGTACTGGATATTGCACATTTTCAGTCTTAAAACCATCACACAGGTAGCCCCTCTTTACTGAAGGACTATGCAACTTAGAGCTTATGAATATTATATCATCAGAAACTGTTATATCTCTCTGTGTGTCCAAGCTCTGCATTAATTGTGTATACTTTTTCTCCCAAGCAGCATTGGAACACCTCAAAAGTTCATTAAGAATAAGAAGACCTCCATGCACTTTATCTTCTTTAGTGATACCTTTCTCTTTGGGAATATCCTCAAATGACACCATAGCCTCTTCATAACATTGTAAGTACCACTGTGGTTTTGCAGTAGACTGCTTTGCTGCTTCCCTTTGAGCAGTAACCACTAGTCCAGCTCTTAACGCCTTAGCAGCTGCTTCTCTGATTTGTTGCTTTGGATCTTTTAACGCAACCAATATATGATCAAAGAAACCAGAAACTTGTTGATAGAAATAGGTTGGCATAGCTATAGCCAATTCTTTAAGCAATAAAACGGCTGAATGTCGCCTGCCCTCACTTCTTTCCTCTGACAACCACTCAAATGCTCTCTTTACTTCAAATTCAACATATTCGGCTCTTTTGACTCCAGACACGGTAGCCAAGCGACCTACTGTCTTAGCTGCTAGTTCCATAACACCAGCATCAGAGGAAGGAAGCAAATTTCTTAAATAATTTGCAAATCTTGTTATCCGGGTTTTTGTTGTGTCACAGTCACCACCTATGAGACATACTGGAAAAAAATCATAATAAAATTACTGACAATTGGCTTCTTTAGATTGATTATTCAGAGCAATATTATTGTAGATTTTTTAAAATATAATGAGTGATTGTAAATGGATACTGTAGCCCGGAAACATCTACATTTATTCTCAATTAAGAATCAAAATGCAGATGAGTTTTCACCCCTTGAGGACTGAGATGGAATACCTAGTTTCCAGTAAAAAGGATCTCCAGTTCTCTACACTCACCACATACATACAGCAGCATTAAGCTGCTATTTAATGCTGATATTCTGTGAAATCGTGGTCCTACCGCAGTCGAGCCAACCCATTTGTGTTACAACTGTAACATAGCTGCAGCATGACTCTACCACATAAAAAGATAAAAAAGTATTATTAATTCGTAAATATTTCACTGGCTTAAATATTGTGGCATACAATTCAAGGAAATTGATATATTATTAACTCCATAGAGTAGGTAGTTCATTCTTGGGGCGACGGCAATGTATATGCTTTTACTTCGCCTTTAAATCGCAGAAAATATACAGAATCTGACTTCCGCAAAGTTTAAAACATATTATTATACAAAGATTGTATAAAAGTAGTTATTATAGTATTAAATTATAGTTATTATAATTTTTAAATGATAATAAACCCTGGGAATAAGGTGATTGCTAGCATGCTATTTCTACAAATTATTGTTCATTTTTCAAAAAAACATCCTGCTTGTTCTCTTGCTAGTTTTTCACAGAACAGAGGTATTTTCTGAACCAGTGGTAAATTAAGCATAAGAATAACTTTCAATAAGTAATATTTATAATCTATATTGAATTAAAAAGTTTCTATTTCTATTTCCATAAATTTAAGCTTAAACCATGGGTATTAATAAATGCACATTTATCATATCAGTATGAACTGAAAATTATATAGGTACCTATTACACTTGTTACTTTTCTGCTTATTTATTCATCCTTTTCCACATTGATTTGCTTGATTAATTGATACAGTCTACCCTTTATGTTTAAATTAACATTGAACACTTGATGTATCAGACAAAATGCCCACTGCATCTCTACTATCACTATCATTTTTATGATTGGTTTCATAAAAATATTTATTAACAGGAAACACCTTACAGTGAATAGATATTATAAGTGGAATTAATGTAAAATGAAACATTTATAGATTGTTTGCAGATTGCAATAGTTCACATTGAACACCACCAAATTTGTTTTAAATTGATGTACAATTTTTTATCATACATTTCACATACATTATATGTAAAAAATCACTTTGGACTATCTCAACAGCCCATCACAAGCTACTGTTGAAAATAAACCAGCAACCTGTATTCATCAACTAGCTGTCTTTTTCATCAGGTTTCCAATCGAGGCTGCCATTTGATAACCTTCCTTCCTCATTGGTTATCAATTTTAAGTAAAGTCAGTCAAGAGGTTCTGTTAAGCTATGTCAGTTACTCTGGTTTTACTGCTGATATCCTCACTTATATACCTATCATACAAAAAAACTTCAAGCATAGGAATCTCCTTACTCTTGTTTTGTAATCTCCCAATGCATAAGTCTTCTAACGATTCTGTCATAATGACTATATCCTCAGCAAATCAAAGATGAGAAATGTATTCGCCATTATTTTTAATACCGCATCTTTATCAATTCAGTAGCTTGAAAATGTCTTCTGATGAAGCAGAAAAGAGTTTCGGAGATATAATGTCACCATCTTACATATTTCTGCAATAGGATAGTCTTGCGATTTAGTTTATCAGACATAACAGCAGATTGTATAAGCTGCTATAGTGAATGTATGTGATTAAAATCTTTGTTATTATAACCTTTACAGAAACCATATAATCATAGGCGGAAACCGGCTTGTTCGGGAGACTGAAAGTTGTCAAGTCTGCATGAGTAAGGATTCATCAACGACCCCCAAAAACAGCACTTTTGGCACACAAAGCAGCATTTCTAGAAGGATATATTAAAGTAAAATATTTTATTCAAAATTGGCTTTTATAAAGCACTTTTTGAACTGGCGCTTTCTTTGTCCTTTCAAATCTCACCCAGAATCACATCCGGGTTATTATCAGAATAATGCTGAGGCATGTCCCTGGATTGTTGCTCAAATTTGTCTGCAGTTGTTCAACAACATACCCAGAAATTGATGCTACAACTATCAGTTATCAACTTTATTAATTGGCTTCTTGAAGCAAACAGATTTTTGGCAAAGACTTTAGAGCCCTGGTTCTGCACTATCGCATCTTCAACATGAGTCATATGGAAGCGGCATCAGTCTCAAAGCATACATTTTAAATAGTCTTTAAGCCATCAGTTCTTCTTATCAGTTGAAGACTGGAGTCTCATATCTCATCTAGCAGCCATTAAATTAAGAGAGTGATCTGAGAGTTGTTGAGTTTATTATGGTGAAGCTTGCAATATTTTGCTATGACTGCATGCACATTTTCCACAAGATTGTAATTGATATTGTTCACTATATTGCAATTTTTTGGCACTGGAAACAATTTTGTAGCTTGAACTGAAAGGATTCTGGGCCAGTTAATGAGGTTGGAATATTGAAATTATTAAATTAGATCTGTGTAATTTAATGTTAACATTCAGTGTACCTCTAACCATTTGACTGCTGTAGGTTTTTAACCCAACAATCACAGAGATATCTCATGAATAGTTGTTGTTTAGTCATCAGAATGAAGGCAATTTAAACATAGTAGAGCCATGATGCAGATATATAATAGTTGTAAGTAGCATGACTGGATTGGCTCAACCAAGGAAAAAACACACTCTCACAGAATTCCAGTGTAAAATAGCAGTTTAGTGCTGCTGTGTTTCATATAGTGAGTGCAAAGAACAGGAGACCCTATTTACTGGAAACAAGGCATTCCATCTTAGTGCTCAGGGGTGACAAAACATCTGCATTTTGATTATTAATTAAGGATAGATGTAGATAGTTGTTATGGGCCACAGCATCCATTTACCATCAGGTTGATTGTGTGCTCATTTGTCACCCATATTGTATAAAAAAGAAAATATAAAGCTAATCTATCTCCACTTCGCTTCTGGAAGATGAAATTCAGCAAATAGAGGCCTTCCTTCTTCATGAAGTCAGCTAGTTGTTGCTTTGTAGAGTTCCATTCAACAACTGTAAAGCTCCCCATTCCCAGCATGTTGACTTTTCTAGTGTCTAGTTCTGTTGAAGTCATCCACAAGCCTAAGTAATGTTCTTTAACTTATGTTTTAAAATTTGACTTGCTAGTTAAGGTGCGTTTGGGTAATACCGGACGGATTTACCTACTACTAGTTGAAGTCTGGCAAAAACTATTTTCTCAACATCCATATACGTCAGATTTCTAGAACATGGCGCAAATTGTTAATGCTTGAACTTAACGATTTCTGCTTAAAACATATGCGAAGATAAGACATAATTTTTAATACGGATGATGAAGAATTTTAACAGTGGTAGAGCCACGCGGCAGCCTTGCTGTTGCACGTATGGGCGGGCTCAAACCGGGGTGGTACCACGACCTCACAGAATACCGGCGTGAAGTGGAAGCTCTGTTTCGGTGTTTCGTCTGGTGAGTGCAGGTGGCCGGAGGCCCAAATCCCCCCCCCCCATAACGTGGTAGCGAAATTAAATGATGATAGACTACCCCAGGAGGGTACCAGCACCCCTGGATAATCCCTCGCTGAGCATCCACGACCATGTTTCTCCATTTCTGAGCGTGGGTGCTCAGGCTGCCCCGCGTATTCTGGGGGGGGGGGAGGAAATTCCGCTCAAGACTACAACTGCTCGGGGCAAACGGAGCAACAAGATCAAGGCGACCCTGCCACGCTATCCGTGATTTTCTGCAATATCAGGGGACTTCACTCTAACCTAAAGCCGTCCACTACTATCTCGAGACGGCGAGGCCGGCTCTGCTCTTTCTGAGACAGGTGTTTCCAGCTGATGTCTCGTATCTCTCCTACCCAGGGTACAAACTGGAACACTACTACCTCGGGTTTCGGTTTGCGTTTACGTCAGAGAGGACATGTTCTCGACGCCTCGGCAGTCTTGAAGGTTCGGACCTGTCCATCCTTTGGCTACGTGTAGACAGCGACGATCATCCGCGCATCTACGGGTGCCTCTATAGATCCCATAGCGGTAATGTCGGAACAGACCGACTCTGACCACGTCCAAATGGCTACAGTCATTGCTACAGCAGATCCCCTCCACAGAGATCGTGATCCTCGGCGACTTCAACGCCCATCACGCCGAATGGCTTGGTTCACGTTTAACAGATCATGTGGGGAGACCTGTTCATGATTTTGCCTTGGTATATGGTCTGACACAACCGGTTACTTCGCCTACACGGATTCCAGATGTGGAGGATCATGCACCTTCCCCGTTGGACCTTCTGCTGACCTCTGACCCGGACAGATATCAGATTTCCGTCGACACCCCTTTAGGCTCCTCGGACCATTGTCTTGTCCAGAGTGCAGGCTGCCGCCGTGTTTGGCACTATAGGTCAGCCGATTGGGATAGGATGCGGTCTTTCTTTGTATTCTACTCTAGGGAGCGGGTTTGCTTTTTGCTGGACGATCCCAACGTTGTTGCGGATTCTGTCGCTGATGTGGTACTTCAGGGTATGGAACTTTTTAATCCTTCCTCTGTGGTGCCCATTGGAGGCAAATCCCAGCCATGGTTTGGTCGTTCATGTAAAATAGCATCATGCTATAAGCAGGAGTGCTACCAAGCCTGGGCTGACGCATCAACATCCCGGGATGTAAACACCAGCGCTCTAAAAAAAGAAGTATAATTGCCCCTCCAGGTCCTTCAAAAGAGTCATTGCCAAGGCAAAGTCAGAGCACATAGGCAGAATTGGCGAGAAACTAGATCGCCTTCCTTCTGGAACCCGTGCATTCTGGTCTCTCGCCAAGCCTGTCCAGGAGAATTTCTGTCAGCCATCTTTTCCATCTCTGGACAGGGAGGACGACTCACTGGCTCATACCGCAAAGGAAAAAGCCGATCTGCTAGGCTCTTTGCGTCCAACTCGACTCTCGATGACGGGGGGAGTACGCCGCCTACCATCCCGCGATGCGAGTGCTCCATGCCGGAAGTGCAGTTCACACAGCGCTCGGTTCGCAAAGCAGTCCTCTCCCTGGACATCCACAAGTCAAGTGGGCCTGACGGAATCCCCCCAATCGTGCTGAGGACGTGTGCTCCAGAGTTGGCACCGGTTTTAACGCGTCTTTTCCGGTACTCCTACTCCCTAGCCGCAGTCCCAAAATCATGGAAGATGGCTCTCGTCCACCCGATCCCTAAAACAGGCAACCGCTCAGACTCGTCCAACTACCGGCCTATCGCCATCACCTGCTTGTTCTCCAAAACAATAGAGTCCATTGTAAACTGCCAGCTCATGAGGTATCTTGAGGATCACCAGCTGATTAGTGATCGCCAATACGGTTTTCGCCGTGGTTGATCTTCTGGTCTACCTAACTTATAGATGGGCAGAGGCAGTAGAGTCCAAGGGGGAGGCGTTGGCCGTTAGTTTGGACATTGCGAAGGTTTTTGATCGGTTTGGCACAAAGCGCTTCTTTCGAAGCTCCCTTCCTATGGGCTTCCCGAGAAATTGTGTAATTGAATCACCAGCTTTCCTGCAGATCGGAGCATCAAGGCCATTGTAAACGGTGCAAGCTCCGATTACAAGCCTATTAATGCTGGTGTTCCACAAGGCTGCGTGCAATCGCCAACGCTGTTTCTTCTGCATATTATCAGTGATATGTTGCAAACCCCTAACATTTATTGCTGTGCAGATGACCGCACTGGTGATGCTCTGTACACCGGCCATGCCAATATTTCTCGGAAAAACGTCTCTGAGTACCAGGACAAAAGAACGCCGCTAAAAAGAACCCCTTTTTCGTATCTCCTCAGTTTCAAGGCACTCCCCTTGTTGCCTCAGCCAGTATCGGAATCCTCAGCGTCGACGTATCGGGTGACGTGCAGTTTCGTGGTCACTTGGAAGAGAAGGCCAAATTGGTCTCTAAAAAGCTTGGCGTGCTCAGCATAGCGGGACAGTATTTCATGCCGGCACACCGCCTGCAAGGCGCAGGTTCGGCCGCGCATGGAATACTGTTCCCTGTTACTCTGGGCTGGAGCTCCCCAGCTCCTTCCACTTGACCGCATCCAGCGCAAAGCGGCTCAAATCGTTGACGACCAAGTGCTTTCCGATCGGCTCGATTCACTGGCACTGCGTAGAGATGTTGCATCTCTTTGCATTTTCTTTCACATATACTATGGGGAGTGCTCTGAGGAATTGTTCTGATTAATCTCAGCCGCCAAATTTCGTGAACCCACGACACGGCAAACGTCTCGATAACATCCACACCATCTGGTTGCTTGGGACCACCACTGGTCCACCCAAGCATCCAGGTACTGGTGTACTGTAAGTTTCACAAGGAGTTTTCTTCCGCGTATGACCTCTCTGTGGAATAGTTTACCACCAGCAATTTTTCCGAACCTTTCTACAGGGCCGGCAATGCACCTGCAATTCCCCTGGTGTTGCAGTTGCTCATGGGCGGAGGTAGTCACTTAACATCAGGTGAACCGCATGCTTGTTTGCCCCCTCTTCTATAAAAAAGAGAGAAGAATTGGCCATCAAGGGGCAAGACCGGACATAAATTTAAAACCAGTTCTACTACCTGGAGAACAAAGTTTATAAAAGGAATTATCTTTATTATTTGTCCTATCTTTACTGCTCAAAAACATATTTAAATATGACCTGTAAATTACTAAAGACATAAATGTTCCAAAGGATTCTCTGTTTTTTTTTTTTTGATATAAAGAAATTGTAGTTTTGTGGTTCTCAAACTTTGTTATGACATAAGATGGAAATACTCAATATAAGGGAAATATCAGATGCATTTGATTTTTTTACTGGGAAAGAAAATTTTACTTTAAAAAATCTAATTTTTAAATAAAATGTAAAGATCGGATGGACAAAAAAAAATACAAAACTTACCTTTTTTTATAAAATGATATGCAGCACATGCCCTACTTGTGCAGAATGAAACTAGGACAGAATGGAATGGCATTGTATGCCATATTGCTAGCATTTAAAATATAGCATAAAGCTGGCTTACCACTATGGGATATAATATACTGGTCATCAAAAAAATTGACCCACCCAGTATTGTTTGAAATTTATCGATTGTTTCACTTAAAAGCTGTTTCACACATTTGTTTTTTATTTTGAGGGTCGTATATGATGTTTGACACCTTGTTTGTCGTAAATCTTATTGCACTTGAAGGTACTTTACAAATTTTTATACAGAAATACTGTTGAGTGCTGATTTCGTTGTTTTACGACAGAACAAATTCGAACCGTTATTTCAGTCCGACACAGACTTTTGTAGGGATATCTCGTTAATAACGTTAAGTTTATTTACTGAGGCTGTAGCTTTGATTACTTTGTCTAAAAATAATGGACACTACTGAAGCTGAGGCGGCCCAAGTTGTGGCTTTGCTGCAACAAGGCTTAAGTCAACGTGTCGTGGCCAGGAGGTCAAATCTGAGCCGTTCTGCAGTGCGACGAGTTTACCAAAGGTTTTTGGAGACTGGGCAGTATCGAAGAAGATCTGGATCTGGAAGACATAGGGTGACAACTCAAAGGGATGACCGATTTATATAGTGTTATCAGCTCTACGAAATTGGCACCTATCTGGTGTTGATCTCCAGCAACGCTTATGTGAAGATCGAGGTGTAGCTATAAGTGATAGTACTGTGAGAAGGAGACTTCGTGAGCAGAATTTAAGACCTCACAAGCCAGCAACAAGACCACAATTGACCATATATCAACATATATATATCAACTGGACTATAGGCCAATGGGAGTCAGTTCTTTTTAGTGATAAGAGTCGAATGACTTTATAGGGTTCTGACGGACGCCGTAATGTCATGCGACGACCAGGTGAATGTTATACCCAGTGTTGCATAAGAGAAACTGTCAGTTATGGTGGAGGCTCTGTAATGTTTTGGGCTGGGATATCTTTGACTGGACGCACGGAGCTGGTTTTCATACGAAGAAGTGCTTTAACTGCAGCACGCTACATCATAGAGATCTTAGAAGACTATGTGGTGCCATACGCCGGCTATATTGGAGAGACCTTTGAATTAATGCATGATAATGCACGACCACACGCAGCGCGCATCACAACCGATTACCTTGAAGAGGTCGGCATTCGGGTTATGTCGTGGCCAGCAAGAAGCCCTGATCTCAAACCTATAGAGCACATGTAGGACGCCCTAAAACAAAAGGTTAGAGCTCGTAATCCAGTCCCTACAACATTAGGAGACCTTGAAACCGCCATTAGGGAAGAATGGAACCGAATCCCTCAAGAGACCATCAAAATCTTGATAAGGTCATTAAAACGGCGAATGCAGGCCGTCATTCGAGTTAGAGGAGGGAATACGAAATATTAAGCCTTTGACTGCTGTGTCGGTCACTTTGTACGGAGTATTGCATTTAAAACGTGACCGACGGCAGAGAATGTGAACACAATTGTGAAACCAATTGTGTACATAAAATTCAATACATAAAAAATAGAGCATATTGAAAATTAATAAAAATAATCGTGAAAAATTAAAGATTTTGGTTTTTAAATGAAAATTACTTTCAAAAAATCATTTTGATGTTGTAACTGTGATTAAATTGGTGTAAATAAACAAGTTAAATAAAACATTTCAGTACTTAAACATTTTGAATGGTTCTGCTTTAGAAAAACGTGATTTGCGGCAAAAACGCAGGTGGGCCGATTTTTTTGATGGCCAGTGTATATATTATATGCGGAGATATAAATTATATCCCGCAATTGCCCTTCACAGTGTGAGATATATCTTTTAACCAGTGCGTGTTCATCATAGTAAGATCTGAGGATGTAGCACGGAAGGGTGTGTGGGGTACAGGAGGTGAAATATAATATGAAAATATCGCTCAGTCGATCGAAATAATATTTATAGTTTTGGATGTAATATATATTACATTTCAGTGGAAATGGTTCCATTTAAAAGTACAGTGAGCGATATTAATTTATATCTCGAGATGTAATAAATATAAATTATATTATATCCCATAGTGGAAAGTGGGAATTTGAATTTTACGGCCTTGCCCTATCAATGATCTTACCCTAACACACCTTAATATTCTTAGTGCAGACTTGACAATAATTATAGCAGTAGTGCTATATAACCTGATTCTTAAAAAATACATACTAACCGATAGCCAATACCCCGCCTTTTTTTTCATGAACATCATTACTTGAAACCATTTCAATAATTTGGTGGTTGAATTCATCAAGGAACTGTGTAAGTTCTTCTTGCGGTACTTCACGGAGTTCTGTTTTTGCATAATGATAAAGCTCCCGAGCCGTTTTAGTTTGTATGTCGACATTTCGGGACTTTAATCCAGATACAAATCGTGTGACTTGATTAGACATCTTAAATGTATTATATTTTATAACAAATCACAATATGTGTTAGAGAGAGGTTGGTATTCCATATTTTTTTGTTTTAATCCTTAAAATGTGTTTGATACACTCATGAAAGTTTCAATACAATTGAAATTCGACTTCACTGACTATATTTTTGACCATTTTTGACATTGACAAAAATTGCAAAACACAAGATGCACAAAATCACAGAACACATTTACCCTGACGGGCACAAAATAAACACCATGCTATTGTTATTGTATCTTTAAGAAATTTCATTGGGAATATCCTACTCCTACCGCCATCTAGAAATTGCTTTATGAAACACTTAATACTTTTTAATTTATAGCTGCTCTGGCATCTTGCATTTTTAGCTACTTTATGTAAGTCAATCAAGATAGTGTGGCCGGCACAAAAAATTAAGCATTATTAATAATATTTTTATATTTACTTAATTTTATTGATATTTATGTATATTTATCTTTTCATTTCCATTTATAATTATATATTTATAGAACCCAACCAGATGAGAAAACAACAAAAGGAAACAACAAATAAAGGAAATACTAAAAAGGAAATAATATTCTATTAAGCAAGTTATTGTTATATGTTATTGTATTTATTAACTACATTGAAAATATCATCATCATTACAGCCCTTCAGAAGTCTACTGCTGAACATAGGCCTACCCAAGGTATGCCACAAAGCACCTAGTGGGGGGTCGCCCTACACTACGCCTACCGGTACGAGGCTGCCGAGAACCTTTCTTCCCCATCGGTTATCGGTTCTTCGAGCTATATGGCCGTCCCATTGCCACTTCAGCTTACTAATCCGTTGGGCTATGTCGGTCATTTTGGTTTTACTGCGGATATCCTCATTTCTGAGTCTATCACGGAGAGAAACTCCGAGCATAGCCCTCTCCATAGCTCGCTGAGCGACATTGAGCGTCCATATACGGCCAGCAGTGAGGGACCACGTCTCAGATCTGTAATTCATCACTGGCAACACGCACTGGTTGTACAATCTAGTTTTTAGAGATTGAGGTTGACTCCTTACTTCTATACTCCATATGTCGAAGGATTGTTGCTCCTGTATTATCGCTAAAATAATGCATGGAGTAAAGAGGTAAGGAGGACAATCTCCCATAGGAGAACAGTTGAAAATGTGTCCATCCGGAAGCAGTAAATAACAGTTCAAAAACTCTCCACAAAAGCGCCCGAGTAACTACAGGATATGAAAAATCGCCGTAAAATACGTTGGGAATGATTTTGAAAATAAAAATTTTGAAAATAATAAAATAATTATTACAAAAAGAATTGTGTCGAAAGTCTGTGCAATAAAAAAATTATAAAAACTTCTTTAATTTTTACACTGCAGCTACAGTGGCGCCATGGCGCCACCCTTATTTAGGGCTTTTCTACGGACACTTTTTTATACATAGTTTGTTCTCCTGATCTCTACACTCCATAAACGCTTGCCTATGGATACCGATTTATTTAACCATGAAGGTTAGAGAACAAGAGAACGATCGCCGTAGAAAATAGTTTCCCAGAAATATGGACACCATAAGTGAGACGCTGCGATCGCTAAGTTCGCTCAATAAAAGTCATTTTCAGTCTATTTTTCCGATCAGATGCTAAACCACTTGCACATCCGCGCACAATAAAATATTTCTCCATTTGTTAATATTTCTTTTTGTCAAAAATTATAAAATTACGGCGCATGAAAATTTTCACACCAATGCCGCGAAGAAAATTTGTACATTATTCAACTAATTTTATCTACTTGTAGTCATACACAGCTAACTTCGCAGTCACTACTCACCGACGTCAGCGCCGCTATAAATTCTACAATTTTCAAGGACAGACCGGCTATGCTTTAGTACGTAGCGTTTGTTCTCCTGTTATTTAACGTCCATGGTTACAATCATGGAAATATTTTAGTAATTGGGATACTATCTCACTTGTAAAATCGTTGATTTAAAAAAAGTGTTATAGAGAAGGCTTCATAAGCGGATCTATCTCTTTCTTTACTTCTTCGGTGTGGCCAGCAATAATCTTGTACCACACTTTACGCACACACAAACTGACGCCTTCTTTCGCATTCGCACACGAAAAAGATAGATTTATGCATACGTCTTGCATAGAAATGAGACAGAGCGGTGTGATTGTTTGTCCCTTTCTCCGTGCCGGTTTTTTTTGTTTAGCAAACTATACTTTGCTAAACAACTTTGACAGTTCGTAGCGATCTAAGGAGTTTACAAGTTGGTTTAAGTGAGAAAAAAGTGTTTTGTGTGCTTAAGATTGGTGAATCTTGTTCAGTTCCAATTCTTAGAACAATTAAAATTTTTATCTAAATATGTTTAAAAGTCATAAACATTATTGTATAACCTAAAACTACGTTATCGTCCTTTCTCACTCGAGGCCATGCTAATCATTAGTCTATAGGTTTTTCTGTCTACGACACTTTAGGTGTTGATTCTGTCAAAAATGCATAACGTTGATTTTAAATAATCGCTACCTTTTACTATTTATGAAAACAAGAAAGAGATAGCAAAAATTTTAAGCTGTGAAATTAGTTCACGTAGTGCATTTCAACGTGTTTTCCTAGATGCTGACTCAAAGTTTTCGGGGATTTAAGTGTCACTGAACCGATAGCCTTAAAATTATTATTATCTCATACTTTTGACATGTGTAAGTAAAAGATAGCAATAGTTTAAAATAAGTTAAGCAAACGCGAAAACGCTTAATAATTTCTTTTCAAAAAATCATACTCATCATATCATACAATCTTTATAAATAAATAATCATACTCATATCAAACCTGTCACGTCCATATTTTTTACGTTTTTCTGAGATATTTTATATCGTAAATTATGTATTTGCTATTGCTATTTGCTATTACAAAGGTTTTGGTAACGTTGCGTTTCTACATTTGTTCTTTCACCCCATAAGACCAGGTTTTTGTCATGACTTCTAACAGTCCGTTTAGGCCTGACCACCTCTAAGGTACATTCTAAATATATTGGTAAGTGATCAGAAATGTAAACATCTTCATAGACACCACACTCTTAATTGCATTCCAGGCTGATTTGGATACTAAACAGTGATCTAGCCATCTTCTACTTCCATGAGCGTCACTTATGAAGGCGTAGGTATCACCGTCCACTCTCAATGCTTTTATATCCGCACAAACCCACGACTGATCATAACAAAAGTTATTCAGTTCATTAAAAATAGTTCATGAGGGTGCGCATTAAAATCCCCAAGCATAACATTTTCTATATCCCTACTCGCTATGATAGCATTGATCTTACTCAATATATCTGTAAAAATTGGTAGGTTGACGGACAGTCCGTAGGCATATAAACAGAAAAGACAATAATATTGCAACCCTCAGTTGTGACTGTAATGGCCAATAATCGAGAACTACTATAGTTTACAACAGAAACTGACTCAAAATTACCATTTTTCCAGAGAATGGCCACCCCCCCCCATGAGGGCTTCCTTTCAATAATCCCTCCGATGTGTCTACAGCAGACTTACCCGTGTGTTCAAACTCACGACTAATCGAGCTTAGGAAAGGAACATCATGTGGGAGTAGCCAAGTCTCCTGAAGAGCGACCACATCTGACCACATACATATGCCCCTAATATCATCTATAGAATTCTTAGCTGACTTACAGTTAAAACTTGTAAATGTAAATGTATAATATATGACTTCGACTAAAGCTGAAACCAAATGTTGTACCATCAAGATTTTTGGGTGAATGTTATAAGTTGCAACTTTCTCTTCATATTTCGTGGATACGGTTAACTATCTTATAGAGTTACTTTCACCTGATTTTTTGCCCAATTCATCTAGATAATAAAATTATTAGGAGCTATGACAACTCAATATTTTTTTTTATTTAAGAAAAATTTCACTACAGACATTTCTGTCTGTAGTGGAACATGGATTTCCATGTGTTGAGTGAAATTCAACTTGTGGCACCGGGACTTTCTGTTGGTAACTAAACGTCACTAGATAATTGATCATCCTCGTCGTTACTAAACAGCAGTATTTAACTCCTAGACCTACGGAAAAACATAACCCAAAAACTCAATATAATTTTCTATAATTCAGTGACAAGCAATGTATACGCAATGCAACAGTTAAGTATAATTCATGCAAACGGTTTCGATGTATCTTTGTAGATGTAAATAAAAAAAATTGTCTTTTAACATTAATCAGAATCCTTCTTTCCAACCGTGTGCGTGTGGAATTATAATTCCATGGGTAGCCCTATTTTCAACAGTGAAAATCTTGGCAGATTATGGTGATGACTTCTTGGCAATACTGAGCGTGCTACTGTAAAATCTCTTCTCTTCTTCCTCTTTCCCTTTTTCTTTTTTCTCTTCTTCTTTTAAAAAATGTTACCTCCACACTAATATTTTCTCCTGTATCGTGGGGGCAGTTTACAAACATAAATTTCACAAGGACAAACATCCAGACCCAGAACAATTACTTGTAGGCCATAGAAATACTTGTTCCGTGCGGGATTTGAACCCGCGGACCTTAGCGCTGTAACTCATTGCTAAGCCACTGCGCCACGGAGCCGTCAATCGGTATAAGCCCAAGGATTACTTAAGAATCTTCAGTTTTTTGGTTGAGCGAGTATAATTTAAATCACAAGGCTTGGGGTTCGATAACGTTAGCACTGAAATAGACAGGTAGTTAGGTATGTTAATTAGTATGAAATTACTCAAACCCATTCACACTTCAGTTCGGTGACAGCGATCAAACAGTTACTGATCCCTTTCCTATGCCACACCTCGTTGAGTTCAGGAAGCAACGCGTTGAACTTGACCCCTTATAAGACGTTTAACTCAGAAACACTACAACCCTCTCAGAAGAAGGTGGTTGACGACTAAGATTATGTGCCCCATGAGTAGCCATTTGGCTGTTATCGTCGCTTACCTAACCCATGTCTCATCCTCATAACGCTTACCCGTCCATATTTTTTG